AAAATGCTTTTTGTCAAAAATGTTTTATTTTAAAACAAAATTCTAAAGGTTATTAAAATTCTGTGTCAGAATTTTATTGAGATTAAGAACAGTCCAAGTCCAAGTGTATTTTTTGTGTATAATAAAGCAAGCACGTAGTAAAAAAAATATTTTTATAGCAAAAAGGACGTCTAAACTCATACACCACAGCGGGTCTTTACTTTGGAACGTGAAAAAATCATAATAAACACAATAAACAGTTTATTTTGTTTTCTTAAAATTCAAACATTTGGACATGTACTGTTCTTATTCTCACCGATTCAATTATTGTAACATAATTATTACAATTATTGTAACCTAATTTTCCGAAAATTCGGTAATTTTATTTACCCAATTCGATAATTTCAACTTTTACATCTGGCAACACTGCTCAAACACAACCCTTGTTTATGTTATATTTTTGTCTTCTTGCTTGTTTGGTTTATTTATTTATTTATCTTACGCCTTTTTCGATGGTTGTTTATGCCCTGTCTGCTATGAGAAAATGAGGATGTTTATTTAAACTTACGGAAATGTTCTTATTCTTTTTTTAATTTTAGTTTTTGAGACAATAAAAAGAATTCTTAGTATTTTCTTTTTGCAACATTGAGAAATGCTTATATAAACATTGTGAAATGCTTTTATAAACATTTAGCGAATATACGGTAAGACATGCAATTGGAAAAATAACTTAGCTTGATTATTAGGTGCTGGGATTGATCCATTTCGCATGCCCCGCACGTGTGGTAGCCCAGTAAATTTCATTGGAACTGATCGTCTCACTCACACCTTTTAACCAGGTCCAACACTTGAGGATTTAATCCAGGGGGAGGTACCACACACAATTTGCACTCTTTTGCACTTGGGACAGTTATCACGTTACTATGTTTGTATCGTATACGCTGCTTAGGAGAGATCTCTTTGAGCATATGCTTACACTTCAAGCGTCAAGACACTACTGAAATATATATATATATATATATATATATATGATTATATATAAAAAAAATCCCAGAAATTAGTTACTTTTAACTCTCAGAAATAGTCAAAGATGGTGACTTATCCTCAATTAGTAAAACTTTAACTATTTAAGTAGTAAAAAATAACTAAACTGCGCACCACTCAATGTGTCGCGACCAAAAAGTTCGTCCTTTTTCAAAACGACATAACTTTTTTGTTTCTTGAACGATTTTATTTTGGTCTATGATGTCTGCTAGCCCCATCCTCTGGCAATTCATGCTATAGATATGAAGCTCACGGTTCTTCAAGTAAATTTTCTACAGGGTGATATGTTAAACGGTGAAAAATTTAAATAATTTCATCCAAGCCCCGTTTGAAAAAAGAAATATTTTTTCTCGTTTTTACTTTGAAATAATGAAGTAAAATGTCTTACCTTGAAACGGTTTTCAAATTTTTCAAATTGGAATCTTAGCAACGAAAATATAATTTTTTTTTTCAAAAGAGTAGGTAAATTAAATTAAATTAAGGTTTTTGGTAGACAATACACTCAGTCTTTTTAATAACAAAAAGATAAGATGGTGAAAAATTGTTCCTTGAATAATTCTGAATAAGTGACAAGCAACAAATTTCCATCAGTTTCAGAGGGGCCTAAGCAACGACCACTTTTTCAAAATGACATTTTGGTGAAAATTTGCGAAAACTAAACCTGAACCGATATTTACGTTCGTGACATGATTTTTTTATAATTTTGACCTCCTGATTGTGATTCAGTTGTCAAATTTAAGTTTCAGATAAAATCAAAATCACCAAGAATCAAAATTCGAAAACAATTCCCTGCTGTTAAATGTCTTAATAAAAACAGATTGCTGGCGTGTTTCCTGCATATTTATGATTAAAATGCCATTTGGGGATTAATTTTTTGGGCCAAATTACTGCAATTTGTTTGAGTTGGGATAATATTACATAACTTACATAACCTAATTGTTAATAAAGTTAAATAAAAATAATTTGTTAATTTTTTAAAATTTTATGCGAAGTTATAATCATAATCAAAACAGAAAAATGTAACAAACAATAACAATAATAACTTCTGCGAACCGTTAATTTGGAGATGTTAATTCCCGTAGCTTGCTGCAAAGTCTGGCATTGGCATTTAAATCATTTAAACTTTAAATTATTGAAATGCAAATGCCAGAATTTTCTGCAGCTATGGGAATTAACATCTTCAAATTAACGGTAAATTTTAAAGAAAGAATGGAAGTAACCTGGGTAAGATAGGGGTAGGTATGTAGGTATAGGAAGGTATAACTTATGCAAAAAACTTTGAAATTTGGAAAAACACAAGCAAACTGAAAAAATCAAGAATATCCCTCATAATGCGTTTTGAATGTTTTTCAAGAACTTATTTTCATCATTTGATCCTCGATTTGATCATTGAGCGACATGATAATAACGTACTAAAGATGCAAAACACAGTAAAAAACAGTCAAAACCAGCAATCGTATTTTATTGAGACATTTAACAGCCAGGAATTGTTTTCGAATCTTGATTCTTGGTTATTTTGGTTTTATCTGAAAGTTACATTTGTCAACTGAATCACAATCAGGAGATCAAAATTATGAAGAAACCATGTCACGAACGTAAATATCGGTTTAGGTTTAGATTTCGCAAATTATTACCAAAATGTTATTTTGAAAAAGTGTTCTTTGCTTAGGCCCTCTAAAAATAATGGAAGTTCGTTGCTTGTCGCTTGTTCAGAATTATTTAAGAAACAATCTTTCACCATCTTATCTTCTTATTCCTAAAAAAACTGAGTTTATTGGCATCAAAAAACCCTTAAATGTACTCTTTTGGAAAAAAATCATATTTTCGTTGTTAAGATTCCAATTCAAAAAATTTGAAACTTGTTTCAAGGTAAGACATAATACTTCAATATTTCAAAGAAAAAACGAAAAAAAAATATTTTTTTACAAACGGAGCTTGGATGAAGTTATTGAAATTTTTTACCGTTTAACATATCACCCTGTAGGAAATTTTCTTGAAGAACCGTGAGCTTCATATCTATGGCATGAATTGCCAGAGGATGAGGCTAGCAAACATCATAGACCAAAATAAAATCGTTTAAGAAGCAAAAAAGTTATGTCGTTTTGAAAAAGAACTAACTTTTTGGTCGCGACACATTGAGTGGTGCCCAGTTTATTTAAAAGTGAAAACGGCTATATTATTAGTAAAAAATGCTGGTACTAATTTAAATAGTAGAATTTTGACTATTTCAAGAGAGTAGATATCAAAATTTCCATGAGGGGTGGGTCAGATAGGGGTAAAACCACCCTATAACTTTCTGGAAAATGGCGGAAAACATTCGTAAAATATATGAAGATGATATTTTAGACTTCCCTATCAATTAATGGCTTTTCAAAAATGTTTTTCTATGAAACAACAGGGGAAACTGTCAAATGTCACATTTTTAGATTTTATAAACACAATTATAAGGTTATAAATCGAAATGTATTTCACAGTGAAAGTAAAGGAAATGGTTTATGAGGACTTTACAGTAGAGTCCGTGCTCGAATTTAAGTTATAGTTTACTGCCGGCGAAATTAAAAGGTCTATGTTCATATAAACTTTTCAAATATTGGCGTTGAGAAACTATTTAATATTTTTGTATTGAGATAATGAAATAATTTTCACATTTAGTATTATTTTACAAGAAAGGCACTTTATTTTAACGATTGTATGACATTTGACAACTGTCAACTAACTTAAAACTAACTTCAGCCCGTGACTAAAAACCTGTTGCTAACTTCAGCCCGTGACTAAAGCGCCGTAAAGCCACAACTTGTCAATGTTTATTTAAAAGGTCACTTAGTGTCATGGAAACATGTACGATAAAGGGCGTTTTAAAGGTGGGAGTAGAAAAAAAATTAATTAGTACAAAAAAAACATGGGTATAGCCTGGAACCCGGGCCCGTTGGGTTGTTGCTACGGCGCTGCTTACAAGTGCCTCTGTAAGAAATACAACGTTTAAAACAATTCTCAAACAGCACAAACCCAAAGCACAAGAATTGTAAACAACAAAAATGGCCGCCGTTAAACTCTGTGCAGTGTTGCAGTGATTTTTAGTATTTTTAGCATGAGATAGAACAGACCTTGTTGTGTGGATTGTGAAGACAAGTATAAACAAGGGATTGGTTGGGTGGGCGGTGGGTTAGTTAGATAGGCAACTTAGTATTAAAGTTTTGTTCCGTGACTACTGCGCCATCTAGCGGGTGTAGTCAAAAATATATATTAAAATTATTGTTTAAATTTTTTTACTGGATGGTACTGATCCTTTTTTTACCTCCACTAGATAAATAATTCTAATATTTTTCTAGGAAAGTTCAAAGACGAATATAATAAAACTACATTTTTTTAATTATTTTATTTGTCAAAGTTACAAAATATATAAAAGCAAAAATTCAAAACACAACTTAAAATCATATCTACATCATATGAACTTATCTAACTATTTCATTCCTATTCCTATTCCTATTCCTATTCCTATAATATTATTCTATAAGGTAAAATAAATTTATATAAAAGAACAATAAAAATTTTAATACTTGGTGCTTACAGAATCAACAACATAGACAAGGGATTGGTTGGGTGGGCAGGGGGTTAGTGCGTACAAAAAAGTTACGGTGGTTTTAACCCATATTGCCTATTTAACTAACTCCTCATGGAAATTTTGAATTTGTTATTATTACATCTTATTATAAAAAGTTTGATTAATTCCCAAATTTAATTTGGAACAGTTTTGGAGATATTAAATAAAAACCAGGGGCTCCTCTTTCGGGGGCTGAGGCTCCCTTAGGAAGCATTTCTCGACCTATGTTTATATATAAAGTTCCTATAGGAACTTTTTTCCTATTTTTGTAAGAAGAATCTGCTGTAATTAATCTGCACGCTAATTATGGTACACCCTGTATAATATACTGGGTGCTCAAAATTCAAATTCTTACATATTAATTTCTTATTTGCAGGTCTTATTTCTATGCTTCTCATCTTTGTATCGTTGGGTTTAGGTTGGGCAGCTCAGTACCTAAAAGACCCGCCTGGGATAATTTATCCGATTCATATCAAACTAAGTCACAACGTGATTGGAATGCTGGCCTATTTATTTGGATTGATGAGTTTATGCTTTGGTTATTACACAAGATGGTTTGTTTATTTCACGACTGTAGAATCCAGAGCTGTTGCCTTAGTTTTTACAATTATTGCTAGTGCTTGGACACTCAATGGTGCTATTGTTTCTGGATATAATCAAATAAATACTTTTTTTAATTAGAAAAGCCTTTTTATTTTTACACGCAGATATTTTACACACACTTTTGTTGCAGATGACAATACAATCTGGTATACTCAATACTGTAATTTATTCGAATTCCAAGATGTCGGATTACCTTTTTCTTTACAACCTTCTTAGTATGGGTATCAAATGAAAGGATTTGACAAGTAGAAAACGTGGTTGGTGAGCGACGTCATACTAAATCCCATATTGCAGTGGCCCCAAGATGGCTGATTGCCTATAGGCATATGTATATATGCAACCTCCAGCAGAATATGTAACGCCATTATAAATTTAATATGACGGATGTAACTAACAAACCAAGTAATTCTAAAATAAATTATATTTTACTAATAAACACGCTTTAACACACTAAAAAGTATAAAATATTGTAATTCACTTAAATTGTTTTTTACGTCACTTCCTAATTTTCAATGGCTATGCAAAAAGCTTCGGGGCCTTAATTACATTTGTCATTAAACATTAGGAAGTGATAAGTTTATTTTTATTGCCATTTATTGTCATTGTATATGAAGTCATAAAGGGCAACTTTTCAAATCGCATTTTTTAACTGTTCTTTTTTTAGCATTTGTCTAGTTATTAAAGTAGCTAGGTTTGTCCTTACACTAAAAAATTATTTGCAATGCCTTTTGGTTCAGTTTATAATTGTATAGGTCAAAGCTTGCGATATTGTCCAAAAATACAGGTATATTTCTATACCCGGAATTCCATTTTGTCCCTCCTGGGTCAAAGTCAGCTATGTTTCAGACTTTTCATCGAGCAATGACCCAGAGATGAAAGTACGATGCACCACACACGAAAGACAAAATCGAAACCATACATATACCTAACTGGAAACAAATTTTCGAACTTAAAAACGTTGTTAAATGTTGTGAAAAATCAGACACCTACCATAAATTTGAAGTTATTTGGAGTTTTTTAACATTATTATGGTGGGAAAAAAAGGGCCACGTTTGGTTGGGAGACCCAAACATAATTTTTGGCATGAGGGCAAATTTGTATCAATTATAGAGAAGTGGAAGGAGAAGGTCGAATAAGGTAATTTACGTAGGTAGAAAACCCTATAGGTTTTCGACGCAAGTCGAAAACAAGTTTTCTACCCTTTTCTACCAAGGTAAATTACCTAAGGTTTTCTACTGACCCAACCCTGGTCACGTGCCCAAAATTCTAGAGGATTACCTTTCCGAGGTAATGTCGAAGGCAAAGAACTGTTCTTTGTTATCGGCTGCCTACTTTTGGTTTTTATTTTTACTTATAGATGGAGCTAGTTATTAACATTAAAAACGCATTTTTAAATGTCAGTCACAGAACACATGGTATTTACGAGGTTTATTTTCAAAATTTCGTAATTCGTTGTTTTTAAATTAACGATATAAATTAACGATACGCAAAGGTCGTATCGATACAGTGTTTGCAGAATTTGTATCGATATTAATCGATAAGCGTATCGTTATAATACCTGTCTCTAGTATAGTTATGTACAGGGTTGGGTATCTACCTACCTACATTTTTGTTTTCGACATGTAGAAAACCTTTTCTCGATTTTTATGTAAGAATGTCATATTCTTGCACGCAAAATCGTTGAAGAATGAAGCTCATTCTTAAACGATTTTTGGTAACATTTAGTTTTTAAGTATTGGTACCCCCAAAATGTCAAACTGATTAATAACCTCAAATTCATTACTTTTAATGAAAATGAAGCCTTTATTATTGTTTTGTAATATTAAGCTTGCTCCAACAATGCATTTTAATGCAAAATTTTAAGTTTAATGTAAAAAAGTGCAGTTCAGGTTGTACTTGTGCAGGATAACAAATATTGTCATTTTGCGTTACCAACTGACATTTTGCGAGAAAAATCCCCTAACTAACAACGACCACAAAACAATTAAAAAAACCTAAATAAAAGTTAAAATCGAGAAAATAGTATAAATCACACGTTGCAGAAGGCTATTCTGGCACTCATTCGTTCGTCCACTCGCTCCTTCGTCGCTCGAGGCCAAATTTCGAATTCGTGCGAGAATATGTGGCCTTCTGCAACTTGTACTTTAATATACTATTCTCGATTTTTATGTAAGAATGTCATATTCTCGCACGCAAAATCGTTGAAGAATGAAGCTCATTCTTAAACGATTTTTGGTAACATTTAGTTTTTAAGTATTGGTACCCCCAAAATGTCAAACTGATTAATAACCTCAAATTCATTACTTTTATTGAAAATGAAGCCTTTATTATTGTTTTTGTAATATTAAGTTTGCTCCAACAATGCATTTTAATGCAAAATTTTAAGTTGAATGTAAAAAAGTGCAGTTCAGGTTGTACTTGTGCAGGATAACAAATATTGTCATTTTGTGTTGCCAACTGCCATTTTGCGAGAAAAATCCCCTAACTAACAACGACCACAAAACAATTAAAAAAACCTAAATAAAAGTTAAAATCGAGAAAATAGTATAAATCACACGTTGCAGAAGGCTATTCTCGCACTCATTCGTTCGTCCACTCGCTCCTTCGTCGCTCGAGGCCAAATTTCGAATTCGTGCGAGAATATGTGGCCTTCTGCAACTTGTACTTTAATATACTATTCTCGATTTTTATGTAAGAATGTCATATTCTCGCACGCAAAATCGTTGAAGAATGAAGCTCATTCTTAAACGATTTTTGGTAACATTTAGTTTTTAAGTATTGGTACCCCCAAAATGTCAAACTGATTAATAACCTCAAATTCATTACTTTTATTGAAAATGAAGCCTTTATTATTGTTTTTGTAATATTAAGTTTGCTCCAACAATGCATTTTAATGCAAAATTTTAAGTTGAATGTAAAAAAGTGCAGTTCAGGTTGTACTTGTGCAGGATAACAAATATTGTCATTTTGTGTTGCCAACTGACATTTTGCGAGAAAAATCCCCTAACTAACAACGACCACAAAACAATTAAAAAAACCTAAATAAAAGTTAAAATCGAGAAAATAGTATAAATCACACGTTGCAGAAGGCTATTCTCGCACTCATTCGTTCGTCCACTCGCTCCTTCGTCGCTCGAGGCCAAATTTCGAATTCGTGCGAGAATATGTGGCCTTCTGCAACTTGTACTTTAATATACTATTTCGACGTTTTCGACGGTAGAAAACGTAAAAAAGTAGAATACTGTCAAATATCAAAAAATGTGAGGTTATGCAAGTTTGTTGTTTATTATGATTTGTTAAATGTTGTGAAAAATCAGACACCTACCATAAATTTGAAGTTATTTGGAGTTTTTTAACATTATTATGGTGGGAAAAAAAGGGCCACGTTCGGTTGGGAGACCCCAACATAATTTTTGGCATGAGGGCAAATTTGTATCAATTATAGAGAAGTGGAAGGAAAAGATCGAATAAGGTAATTTACGTAAGTAGAAAACCCTATAGGTTTTCGTCGAAAACTTTTCGACGCAAGTCGAAAACAAGTTTTCTACCCTTTTCTACCAAGGTAAATTACCTAAGGTTTTCTACTGACCCAACCCTGGTTATGTATGGCGGCGCTTTAAACACTACTTACTACAACAATGCATTTGATCTCTGATTTGACCCTAGAGTCTAGGGCCTAGACCACTCTCTTTTAATTTCTCTATGGGTATAACCTTACTTTACTGGTACGGTATGTTCTGTGGGCAAAATCCTTTTAAATTCGCGAATGTGTGTGTTATCTATGGGTTAAATGCGAAATTTCGTAAGGTGTAGTAAACTATTTGTTCCTGTAGACATTGAATCGGACATTGAATTGGCTTTTTGGTTCATTGTCCTTTTAATTAAAACAAATATTGGTTTTGTGGGGAAGAATTTTAATATGATGAAGAGTCAAAAACAGACCCATAGAAAAATACCTGAAAACACGCCCTAGTAAAACGTTCTGATAACATTTACATAACAATTGCAATTTATATTTTGTTTGTAGGTTATTGTATAGTTTTTGTATAATTTTGGTTAGAATTGAAAATTGAAATGGATGAAGTAGTCAGTAAGGAACCTGAGTACATATAACCTTTATAATCTGTGACCTACAGGACGGGACTAAAGACAGGTATTATAATAACTAAGGTGACCAACTATACTCATTTACTGAGTTTTGTACTCTTTTTTCGCAAACCGTACTCTTTTCAAATCCTGTACTCTGAAAGTACTCATTTGTATAATTTTATACTCATTTGTATTTCTAAAACATTTTTTTAGATTATTTTATTTCAATTTTATTAATTAAATATTTAAAATTATTTTGACAGTGATTTGAATTTCACGCGCGCATATTGCTGCCGTTTCTGGCACAATTGAGAGGCCGTATTATGTACCTGGAGAGATAATAGATACTACCATAGATTAAAAAGAAATCTATGGATACTACAGACCTCTTTTTCTAACAACGACCGATGAGAAAATAGAACTTAACAAAAGATGGGTAGAAATCTTTCGGCATTTTAGAGTAGAACATATCCCACAAGAAAATTTAAGTTTTAATAGAAATTTCCTTATGTTGTCCAGGCACTAATGCTGCTGTTGAAAGGGTATTTTCAATAGGGAATGATTATCGGAGCAGTGAGAAGTCGCAACTTTCTGTAAAAACATTATCTGCCGTCTTAGCAGTCAAATTTAATATGCAAAATGAAATTTGTTTGGATGTGGCTACATTATTAGACGAACATCCTCACTTAGCAAAAAAAATCCACCCTGAAGGAAAATATGTTTTTAAAATAAAATAAGGTTTTTATCGTTTTTTTTTCACCTATGAAGTACTTGCAAAGTGTACTCTTTTTGAACAAAAAATAGTTGGTCACCTTATAATAACAATACACATATCAATATAATATCGATACATATTTTGCAAACACTGTATCGATAGATCTTTGCGTATCATTAATTTAAATCGTTAATTTATAAACAAAGAATTTCGCAAAGTAACTCCATAGAGTACCTCATATCTGACATTTTATGAAAATGCGATTTTAATGTTA